TGTACTGGGTTAGAGGCGCTGGTGGGCTACTCCAAAGGGTGTCAGCTACTGTGACCTGGAGCTCAGTAAGATGGTCCCACTGAGGCTAAGAGGGAGATCAGAGCTATGGTTTTCCCCAAAAGGCAGGTAGGAGTGGAGAAGGCTTGCACTGGATAAGAGTAGCCATGATTTGGAGGGAGTGATTCAGGCAGTTAGCATGGATTCAGCTTAAGTGCTCATCTGAGCTCTTCCACTGACCTGCTGTGTAACTCAAGCTGATTTTCTCCTCTCTTTGGGTTTTCACTAACATAAGGGGATGATCTTAAAGGGCACTGCCAGTTTTGGCCTACCAATCTAAAAGTAATAGAGGGAATAAGGAGAAAGGAGGTGAAGACATAGTCCTTGGTGGGCCTGGGACCAAATGGGGGCCAAGAACAGGTATGGCCCCAGGAGACACAGAATTGTGGGAGGGAGGAGAACAGGGGCAGAAGGTGAGAGCCACACAGACACTATGACACACAGACTTGCAGTGCTCTCTGACAGACTTGCAATCTCATACATTGACACGCTCCCACCCACACCCTGCACCTGATGCAGACACTCAGACACATTCCACAGGAGACAGCGGAAGAGGCTCCGCCTCCCCCAGCAGACACGTCCACCTCTGTGTTCTCTAGCTTCCTTGACTATACCCTGAGTCTTCAATGTACTTTGGACTTGAGGAGGGAGCAGCTGGGTTAGGAGCCTACTTCCTTCTGCCCATGGTGTTCCAGAAGTGTCCTTGACTCTTGCCCCAGTGCAACTGTTTTGAACCTCACAATTCCAGGTTTCTGAAGGTGGCCTACACCCCTCCCCCCCATGGCTTCTCCTGAGGGAATACAGGATTTCTCATCCTCTGAGGGTGGTAGGTAAGGGAGGATGTAGCCACCCCCATTGCTCCTTGATCTTCCTCATGGCCTGTGGGAGGAATCTGAGGCCCAGAGATATCTTGTAACTAACTGGAAGCCAGGCAGCAAAGGCGGGGGCATGGGACAGACCAACCTCTGTTTATGGTGCTCTCAGCAGTAAAGATTAGAAGCCACACTGGCCTGGGGTGGGCTGTGAAAGGGGCATTCCTTCTTCTGGCCTGAGGGCTTCCTTTTCTAGAGTATCTTCATGGCAGGCTACCCTGCAATTGGATTCTGGGGCCCTTCCAGACTCCAAGCAGGTCCAAGTCACCTCCCAGGCCATGTCCTGGGAAACTCAAGCTCTGGAGGGACATTCCTCCCACGGAGCTCAGACAGGAGTGTTCATCCAGGGCCCAGTGGGGCATCACTGTGACCACGCTTCCTGGGGAGGGTTGCTCTGCAAACACTTCTTCTGGCACAGGCTACCCGAGGGGCTCACGTGCCAGCTGAGCACTGACTCTTCATCTGCCCCAAACTTGCTTCTCAGCAACACCATCTCCATCCACTCAAACCCAAATCTGAGCATCCGCCTAAACTCCTCCGTCCCTCTCACATCCATTCGTTTACCAAGTCCTGCCAGTGCCCGCTCCTGACAGTTCTCAGTCCATCCCCATCTCTTCACATCCCTTACCCTCGCGTCATCATCTCTCATCCAAACTATGCAGCAGGCCCCTCTCTGCTCTCCATACCTTCCCCCGCCCAGGTCGTCTTGCACACTGTAACCAAAGGAAAAATTCTAAAACACATTCCTTCTCCCTGAGTTCCCAGCACCTAGGTCAGGACCTGCCATATTGTGAGCATTTGAAGGAATGCTATCTTCCTAGCTCTTGCTTTAAAACCCCTCCAGGTAAAGGCTGAACTTCTTGACATGGATTGAAGGCCCTTTATAATCAGCTGCCTACCTGCCTCTTTGACCTAATTATGAGTTACTGAAAGTGGGCTTGTGTCTACTTTATCCCCATGACTAGCACAGGCCTTAGCACATAGTCAGCCTCAATAAATGCTCAGGGAATGAATGAATGAACTAACGGAAAGCAGAATCTAATCAGGGTCACCAGTGCTACTAGCTAGACTTCTATTTGTACAGAAGAAAGAGGGAGAGAGGCTTCCCGCTGGGATGGCCTGGAAGGCCTTGAAGAAGTTAGGAGGTGGTACCAGGGGGACACAGGAGGAACCCGCCTCGGGTCCCTGGTAGGAGAGGAGTCTGCGGAGGCAGGTAGGGCTGAGTGTGAAAGCTCTGAATAGCAAGGAGAGAATTAAGACTCTATTCTATGGGTGTGGGGAGCTATGGAAGGTGTAAATGGGAAGAGAGGATGAAGATTGTGGTATGCAGCCCCTGTCAGTGAAAAGGAGGGGAGCGGAGACCTGAAAGGCTAGAAATCCTGGAAACCTGCACCCAGTTTTTGTGGGAGGGGCGGAGAGGGGCGGTAGGAGCTCCTATGGGAAGGATGTGGTGAAGGAGAGAGCCCAGCTGTAAGAAGATGGGGCTTGTTGAGGGTGGTGGTGAGAGGAGGGATCCTGGCTGTGGGAATGTGGGTTTGTTGTGGGAGGGAGCTGTTGTAGAGAAAGGGAACCCTGTTTTACGGGGACTTGGAGGACGGCTGCTTGCGCCTGTCCCCCAGGCCCCGCCATGGGGAAGACCAACAGCAAGCTGGCCCCGGAGTGCTGGAGGACCTGGTTCAGAACACCGAGTTCAGCGAGCAGGAGCTGAAGCAGTGGTACAAGGGCTTCCTGAAGGACTGCCCCAGCGGCATCCTCAACCTGGAGGAGTTCCAGCAGCTCTACATCAAGGTGGGCGGGCCCGGTGCGCGTGGGGGCGGGGCCGGGCACCCGGGGGGCGGACCGAAGGGGCGGGGTGGGCGGGGCCAGGCACCCCGGGGTCGGGCCGGAGGAGGCCAGGCCATCGCGGCGCCCCAACTCCCTGCGTCCCCTCCTCAGTTCTTCCCCTACGGCGATGCCTCCAAGTTTGCTCAGCACGCTTTCCGCACCTTCGACAAGAACGGCGACGGCACCATCGACTTTCGGGAGTTCATCTGCGCCCTTTCCGTCACTTCCCGCGGCAGTTTCGAGCAGAAACTCAACTGGGCCTTTGAGATGTACGACCTGGACGGCGACGGGCGCATCACGCGCTTGGAGATGCTGGAGATCATCGAGGTGCGCTGGGGCGGGACCGAGAGGCGGGGGTGTGCGGGGTGGCGCGCCCCCTGTCTTCGCTTCCCCCTGTCTGCACCGCCCTCTCCAGCCAGCTCCTCGGGCCTCAGGAGCGTCCTCGCTGCACCCACCTCTCCTCCCACCCCGCTTCCCAGGCCACCTAGCATGGGTTGGGAGCGTGGTGTTGGACAGGCCTTGTGCTAAGTCCTTTACCCAACAACCCTGGAGGGTAGGTACTGTCAGAAACCCCATTTTACAGATGAGGAAACGTAGCTAGTGGTGGTTCATGATTCAAATCCAGGGAGTCTGACTCCAGAGCCTAAGTTCTTTTAGCTCCTTGTTCTTTCAAGAAATGTGTATTGAATGCCTGTCATGTGCCAGGCGCTGTTCAGAGATCCTGCTTTCACGGGAAGCAAGGAGACTATAGTTAGGAGACTTCACAGCAGTCCAGTCAGGATCTGATGGAAGTGACAGCCATGGAGGGTCAGTAGAAGTGGTTGGATATGGGATTTATTGGGATTTATTGCAAAATTAGAGCGGACGAGATTCACTGAAGGATTGGACGTGGGTATGAGAGAAGGAGAGTCAAGAATAGTGTCAAGGTTTTTGAACAACTCGAAGAATGAATTTGCTGTTTCCTGAGACAGGAAATGAATGCCTGGGGAGGAGCAGGTGGAAAGCGAAGAGTTGGGTTTTAGACATGTTAGTGTGAGATGCTCATTAAATATCCAGTCTTAACGATCATACATCACATCACCTTCCAGCATCCTCCCCATTTCCCAGTGTTCTCCCTGCCCACTCCCAAACCCCCTTCACTCACCCCCAATCCTCCTGCCCCCTGTTCCTCACCAGGCTATCTACAAGATGGTGGGCACCGTGATCATGATGCGCATGAACCAGGATGGGCTCACGCCCCAGCAGCGTGTGGACAAGATCTTCAAGAAGATGGACCAGGATAAGGATGACCAGATTACTCTGGAGGAGTTCAAGGAGGCAGCCAAGAGTGACCCATCCATTGTGCTGCTGCTGCAGTGTGACATGCAGAAGTAGAGAGCAAAGGCTGGTGAGGGGCAGGGCCCTGGCCAGCAGGAGCGTGGCCACCTCCCAACCCCATGACCTCTCTGGCTGGCCCTTCCTAGGGGGAGGGGTACTCCAGCCTCACTCTCTGGCCCACCCACCCCTCTGCCCAAGCCCTTGCTCCCCTCAATCAAGATCTTTGAGGGACCACTTCACCCTGGAAAAGAGAGATCCTCAGGTATCCTGTGGTCTAGACCCACCCCCAGTCTTGGCCCAGAACTAACATCACTGGGCAAAGGGGAGTTAGCCTTTGCCCCTACAGGCAGGGTTAAGGAGGGAGGCTGGGGTTCTGCTTTGAAAGTCCGTTCTTCCTGGGGTTATATTGTATAAGATGTGGTTCCACACACCCCAGTTAAAGGGCCAAATTGGGTCTGTCCTTTATTAAGGACCCAGATCCCTTACAGGTGGTCTCTGTCCTGTTCCCTCGACTCTCCCTGGCTCTTTTGGCTCCTGTCTTTGGAGCGTTCATTCGGTCCTTTTTTCAGCTAACGGTCATTGAGCCCCTGTTCAATGTCAGGCACCTCTAGGTGCTAAGGATATGGTAGTCTACAGGACTCATTCTGTGCCCTCCGGAAGCTCACACAGTGAGGCAGCCTTCCAGTGGTCAGAGACGTTGAACACAGCTGAGCACAGGGTAGGTAAGGCTGGTTAGTTTGAGAGGAACTATTAAATCTTTCCACTCCGTTCTATGCAGAGCTGCAGGAGGATAAATGAAGTGTTTGGAAGCCTAGGAACCATGTAAGTGGAAGTTTTAAGAAAAATTGAAATTTATGCAATACCTAATTTTTTTTAGTACCCTTAAAAGGAGCTAAAGTAATTTTATTAGTTTAGGGTATTAAAACATACTCTATATTACTTGATTTCTTATAAAATAATAAAATGAATACAGAAATGCTAATTTTCATGGGGAAAAAGAGCTGAGAGGAAAAAAAAGAGGGAAACACCACCAAACTCACCAGAAAACACTTTTTCTTATCAAGCTAAATCCTGAGCTGTTGCCATCAGCAGCTTCTACTGCTTCCTTTTTACTGATCTTTTTCAATTCCATGAGCAACTCTGTTAGTCTGGTTAGGTGCTGTCTTCAGAAACACAAAAACAAGGTTCGCTGAGAGTGAGACTGTGTATTTCCCACATCTTGGTAGTTCCTTTCTGGATTTGATCTAGTTTCAAGGATGGGCTTGTTCTTTCACTGCTACAGGAGTAGAAGGAGCTAGAAGAAGAGCCCATCTGGCCAGTGTTTAGGTGCCAGGCTGCATTTATGGACCAAATGCCTAAAAATGTGCTGGGCATGCTCCATTTGAAAAGCTTTTTCTAACTCCAAATCCTAAATCGGGCAGGTAATTCATCATCTTCTAAGTGCACTGGCTTTGCTTCCCAATGTCTGCTTTCCGATTTTGGATCCATGAGCTTTACAGCTGCATGCTTTACAGCTGCTAGACAGTTCATCTTGCTTCTTTAAGTCTTTCCCTTTACTTTCTCTTATACTTGTGATCAGAAGTTAGCTTTCATGTGCAGTGACCGTTGACTTCCTCTTGAACTGCTGGTGAAAACAGTCTAGTACACAGGTGCTGTCAGCCCAGGGTGGGAACAGGGAATGGTTGCTGAGTTGGGGGTGCGGATTGTACCTGCAGGGAAGCAATGAAGCTTGTCTTTTACTTCTGAGTGTTCACCTGTCCTCTCTCTCTGCAGGATGTCCTCTCATCTTGGGGATGTGGACCTTTGGTCCAAAACTCTACTGGGCCTTCCTTCTTGCTGCTCTTGGAGGTAGCGAGGCCACTGGATCGCCACCTCTTTCTATCCTGCCTATGACCTGCCTGTTACCAAGGCTAGGGAACTCACATCCTCAGGCAGTCACCAGTAGGCTTTTATCCAGTAACGCCTCAAAGGATGTTCCATTGCTCTCAGGAGCTGGCCATGAGGTGTATCTTGTGCTGTCAATCGGCACCCCAGATACTCAATAGCCTGACTCAGCTGACACTTCCAATGGAAGGCTTTTTGCAAAGTGGGGTTCCCATCCCCCAAACGTTGAATCTAACTCAACTCCCAATCACACAGAACTTCATGGCTTTCAAAGGCTTGCCATCCACCCCATCTTATTCTACGCTCACAGCCTAGGGAAATGGGGATTTCATTTCCCATTTCCTTTCTCCAGACTTGGAGACCGAGGCACAGAGAAGGGGAGTCTCTTGTGCAAAGGCACAGAGTCAGGAGGTGGCACAGTGCCAAGACTTGAACCCAAGACTCTAAGCAGGTTCTTCCCTTCCGAGTCTCTCCCCTACTCATTTATTTGACTTTGAGTTGCACAGAGGTTGGCTGGGGGGCAAGCTAAGTTAGTTTGGTCTTTTACAAGCTTCCTGCTAAGAAGTTCCTGAAGCTGTGGTCTTCCAAAAAGAAATAGGAGCTTGGGTGAAGTCCCCACATTTTCGAGCACCTTGTTTTCTGTTCTGGGCAGCTCTGCCTACAAATCCGTGCTGTCCTAGGAGGCCTCTGACTCGGAACCCTGGAAGCATCTTGCACTGTCTCTACCATCAACTTCCTCCCTAAGAGAACTGCTTTTGTGTTTTCCCAGCTGGTAGGCAAGTCCTACCTGCGAGGGCGTGTTTGATCACTCCAAGCTTTTGGACACACATCCCTGGCTGATATTTGCTGGTGAGGCCAAAGACCCAGCAGTGCTGAATACAGAATACCAGGCCAGGGACCGGGATCACCATCTCGCTAATGGGAGGAGCCATAGACGGGCCAGGCCTGGCTCCCACATGCTCCTGATGTCCTAAGGACGCTGCCTGGGAGCTCCGGTGGTAGAGCACTGGCCCTGCTGTGAGAAGAGAGGCAGTCCTCCCATCTCTGCCCCAGCTGAGAGGGACTTGTCACAGAGCACAAGGTTAGCAGAGATGGAAGTACGACTCACATAGACTCAAAAATATACAGACAGTTAAGACGTTGATATATCCAGACTCTCCTTTGAAGTTCTGTATCTTCTTGCAGCAACTCTGAATTGCACGATTCCAAATCTATCTTCTAACTGTATTCTGTCCTCATTCAATCTTTGGTCCAACTGATGAGCTCCTTCTGATCTCTAAAAATCATCAACAAGGGCTACTTCAGATGGCCACTGCAGTCCTTGGAGCTATCGTCAGGATTACATAACCTACCTTAAATCAAAAATTAAGGAAAAGGAAGCCCATAAGCAAAGGCACTTTATCTTTTTCTGACAATGGCAGAGTCCCTAGAGGTAGAAATGAATTTTGAGAGAGAGAGAGAGAGAGAGAGAGAGAGAGAGAGAGAGAGAAGGGGAGAATAGAATACCTGGGGTTTCTAAGCAAGGTAGTAAGCTGACACTGTAAATTTTTACACAAAAATTTACTAAAACAGCAAATATTTCCTGAAGACCCACCCTGGGCGAGGCTTTGTGCTGGCTTTAGAGATCACTGTGGGGGCAAGAATATATTTTCTACATATTTTATTCATCAGTTTTGAAAAAAATTCAAATCCTGCAATTGAAAAGTCTCAGAAAAACATGGGATTTTTCTCTCTGAGATTTTCAGGGTTTTCTTTTCCCTTTGCCAGAGTGTGGGGCAGGACCAGGCCTCTCAGGGGATCTGGCCCTTTCTACTTGGCGGAGGCTCTGGGAGTGTTGAGGCCTGGGGCAGGAGGGGGCTGGGTGGCACCGGGGTGCTCCCAGCTCATTCACCACTCTGGCCCTGTCCCCTCCGGATGTGCTGCTCCTGGCTGTGCCCACAGTGACTGTCCTCACTGTTCCACCCTGTGCTGTGGTGTGTGTGTGTGTTTTCACTGACAGTGAATAAAAGGTGTGACTGTGCCAAGGGTTCCTGCTCTTCTCTAAGCTGGGAGAGGGCTGGAGAGAGGGGCAAGGGGGGGCTCACACCGTGGGGGCACCTCACCGGGGGGGAAACGTGGGACGGAGGTCCTTATTCTAGCAAGGACCCTGGTTACATGAAACAGAGACCCACTTGACAGTTCAAAGAAAGGAGTGAGCAGATTACAAGGGACCCTAAAGGTGGAAAATCAAGAACGACTGGGCCTTCAGGAACTAGAACTAAGAATGGGCCTCTCTCTTTTCTCTGGGCCTCACCGGCTCTTTTCCCCTTGGCAATATTTGCATCTTTTCCTGGGTTTCTCTCCAGACTTCCTGGGTTTCCCTGCACAAAGTGGCTGCATCCTAACTCTGTATCAAGACTCACCAGCGAGGACAATGCCCCTCTGTGTCTCTTAGCTCCAGTTCAAAAGCAAAATAATCTGATTGGTTCAGCTTAGCTTTGGGTGGGACCCCTTGGTCCAATCATCTATGGCCAGGCCAGGTGCTGATATGAGGGGTCTTCAGGCAGAGCAGTTCCCCCAGAAGGAAGCTAGTGGCAGCAGAAAGTGGGGCTCGGCTTCTCCCTCTGCCCAGTGGAAGGCATCATTCAAGCCCAAATGAACAGATGGGGGGGGGGGGGTGTCGGGGAGAAGCTATGAGCCAGGATTACAATGGTCCATGAGGTGCACTATGTACTAATTAGGAAAAGGGATCCCCTCTGATTGGACACATCCCTGTAAGTATGCAGCCAGACCATGGTGGCACCTTCGGGCTAATTAGGAAAATACACCCCTTCTTCTGAGCAAACACAGCCTTGTCATGTCATGTGCACAGCTTGACAAGTGGAGTGCGGTCAGAGGTTGAGTAGAGCATAATTTGTTTGTTATACCATTCACAGGAGCCCCGCCCAAAGCCCTGAGACCCCCTACACTGACCCAAATATGGAAAGGATTGGGGATGGGAGCTGGTGGTGAAATGTTCCTCTCAGAAGACCCCTCAGTAGTCAGAGAGGCACTATCCCCTGCCTGGGGTTGGGGACAGTGGCAGCTGCTGGTGCCTGCTTCCTTCTGAAACGCTCAATTGCTCTTACAAGGGCTTTCTCAAGGACGCTCGGAGGGGGCCAGCTGCCTTGGCAGGAAGCAATTAGGACGGAGGAAGGAGACTGACCTGGCCTCAGGGCAACCATGAACCTAAGGAGGTGACTCAGAAGTCTGAGAGCTGGGGGCTACCATTCCTGGCTGAAGCCACACTGGGGGGATGGGGAGTCCTGCCTCCTTCCTGTCTTGGAGTGCATAGGCCCTGGATTACCATCTCCTTAAAACTTCCCCTAAGCCCTCATCATCTCTAGCCCAGGTGAGTCCACCTCCTGCTCTCAGGCTTGCTCTCTGCACCATCTACCTGCCCCAGAGCGATCTCCCTAAAGCATAAATCTGACCATGTCAACTCTTCAGAAGTCTCCCCCCCCCCCCCCCCGCCCTCAGGATCAACCTCCCCCAAGGGCTTGGGGGATCTTTCTCCTGGTGACTTCAAAAGCCTGTTCTTCCTCCACCTCCCCCTCCTGCACCCTGGATTTGAGGCACCCCGAATTGCCCCCCATTTCCCTAAGGGATCTCTTAGGCTTCTGCGCCTGTACACAAGCCATTGTCCCCCTCCCGTCCCAAAGATCTCCTCTGGGGGGCCCTCCCAAACTTCAAACTGTTGGCTCCTCACGTGTACACAGTTCATCATGTGATTCCCTGTCAGCTGAGCTGGGCAAATGTGTAAAGGAGACTGGGTTAGTTGAGGCTTTGGGTCGCAAATAAACAAAATCAAACAAGCTCAAGCAAAAAGAGAGGCTTAGTGGCTCATGTAATTGGGAAGTTCGGGCTCTGCTGGATCCAGAGGCTCAACGTTGCACCTTCTCTCCCTCCCTCCTTCTGCTTTTTCCTCTCTGTGACCCTATTGTCCTCCCCAGGTGGGCATCCCCCATGATCTTTCACCTGCTTCAGGGAAAGGAGGGTTCCCAGATCACATTGCCCCAGAGAAGAAAGAGCCCAATCTCCAAGTATCCAAATATAAGAGTATGGCAGAGTGACCCAGCTGGACCTCATGCTCATCCTTGGTTCAATCACTGTGTCCAAGAAAATAGGGCTCTACAGTTGGTCAGACTTGGGCCACATGCCTATTCCTATGACCAGGGAGGCAGGGAAGCAGGGCCAGTTACTAGAAGAAGAAGGTGGGAAAGGTTGCTAGTAAAAAAATAAAATAAAAACAGCGCCCAGCTGGTGTGGCTCAGCGGTTGAGCATCCACCCAGGAACCAAGATGTTACCTGTTCGATTCTTGGTCAGGGCACATGCCTGGGTTGTGGGCTTGATCCCCAGTAGGGGACGTGCAGGAAGCAGCAGAATGTCTCTATCTCTCCATCCCTCTCCCTTCCTCTCTCTCTAAAAACCAATAAAAACATATTTAAAAAACAAACAAAACAATAGCCACCAACTCTTCAGGGAGGCATTTGTTGAAGTGATGTGGAGAATATCATGGAAATTTAGAGATGGGCTCTTTAGCCAGAGCCTCAACTGGGACTTGAGAAACTGTCAGGATCAGAGGTAGCTCCCTCTCAGGGCAGCATGGTTCCTCTTTTGTAGGGTCTCTACTCCCTTCTGCACATCTTCCATCTTTACCTGCTGATCGGCTCATTCTGCTCACAGCTCACTAAGGCTCATCCAGGTCTCTTGGAAGCCAACTGCATTTCACGGCATCCTCAGCTTCCACACTTGCGGTTGACTTTCCAGTCCCTGTTCCCCAATTCCAAATTCTTGAAAAAGAGGAATCTGGCCCAGATTAACTTTTCAACCGAGGCCACACAGGTCAAAGTTCACTGGACAGCATGGGGATGGCTCACCTTTGGGTCAGGTGCTCACTCCCACCCGAGTAACTACCTATTCAGTGATGGCGAACCTTTTGAGCTCGGCGTGTCAGCATTTTGAAAAACCCTAACTTAACTCTGGTGCCGTGTCACATATAGAAATTTTTTGATATTTGCAACCATAGTAAACAAATACTTATATTTTTGATATTTATTTTATATATTTAAATGCCATTTAACAAAGAAAAATCAACCAAAAAAATGAGTTCGCGTGTCACCTCTGACACGTGTGTCATAGGTTCACCATCACTGACCTATATGATCTCCTAAGTGATTTCTTCCTCCTCCTCCTCCTCCTCCTCCTTCATGAGGCACCTGAGAATAATTGACCCCTTCCTAGAGTTTCATTATTTATTGTTGTGTAACAAGCCACCCCAAAACTTAGTGCTTAACACAACAACAATTTATTTTTTTTATGACTCTGTGGGTTGGCTGGGCTCAGCTGGGAGGTTTTCCTGCTTCATGGCTGTGGTCACTCATCCAGCAATCCCACTGGAGCTGAGCTGGAGCTAAAACAGCTAAGACGGCCCACTCATATGTCTGGCAATTGATGCTGAGAGTCTCGGGGGAAACTACTGTTCTCCACTGGCTACTTATCCTCCAAGGCCGCTCGGCCTCACCCTGTGGGCTTTCCGGCAGGACATCCAGACTTCTTTACCTAATAGCTGGCTCCCAAGAGGGCAAAAATGGAATCTGCAAGGCCTCTGAAGGCTTAAGCTTGGGAACTGTATAACATCCCTTCTACAGCATAATATTAGTCCACTCAGATTCAACCCCACCGCTGGATGGGAGAAATGTCAGTCACATTGCCAAAGGGCAGGCAGGATGAGAGAGTTTGGGCTCATCTATGGAAACAATCCACCAAGCCTTGAGAAGGGCGAGTGAAAACATACTTCCCCAATCCTAAATATTGTATTGTTATTATTTCCCCTTTCCTCCCACACAAGGTTTGGTTAGTTCCTCCCAGGATGGCAGAGTCTGTCCAGGTCCCTCCATTCTGTACCCCGTCCCAGGCAGACGCCCTCCAGGCCAAGCCAGTATTTTTTCCTGCTGTTTCCACCCACCTGTGCACACTTCTAGGCTCGCCATGAGACTCCAGGATGGTGGTTCAGGAGTCTCTGATTCCAGCGCTCGTCTTCCACCCGCCCTCCAGCCAGCCACTTCATTGCCCTTAACTACTCAACCCAAGCTTGGTAGGTGGGGCCTGGGAGTGCGCGCCCCCTGCTGGCTATTGAGGGCCCAGCAAGAACTCGGGTCTGGAGAGAGAATCAATCCCTGGGAGTCTCTCAGATCTGGTCCCCCCCACCCCCCACCCCGCACGCAGAGAGCCTGGTCCCGACGCGGACAAGGGCCCTTCTGCGCGGGTGGGGAAGAGCTGCCGGGCTGGGTCTGCCACTGTGCGCCCGGCCGGAAGCGGGCTCCCGCTGGTGGACGGAGCTGTGCATCCACTACCCCCCACCCCCTCCGCGGAATGGACTAGGGTTCGAGGGAAGGGGACGCCGCTCAGGGGGCCCCCGGGTCCTTGCAACGGAGGGGGGAACAAGGTTAGCTTGGGGGCAGGGGACAGCTAGCTTTTCATTCTTTCTTTAGGATTCATCATCCTGGGAAATAAGTTGCCAGCCCACCCCCCTCAGCTCCCGGTTTTTTCACACATTCTAAGTTCCACCAAGCCCCTCTTTCAGGCCCCCCCTCCACCTGAGGAGCCGGGAGAAGGCCAGCCCCCCCACTCCCCACCCCCATTTCGTTTCGGGAATTGGGCGGTTCAGGGGAGGAGGGCCCTAGCTTACCCTCTTTTGCAACACACACTGACAGCCAGCCACGCGCGGGCCACTGAGAAGGGCGAAGGTTTGCACCCCCGCCCCCACCCCGTCCTCCCGCGGGCTCGCACGGCCCACAGTTCCCTGCCGATTCCCGCTCCCTTTTTCGCCCGGGACCGCGCCTCGCTCCCGCAGCTCAGCCCGCGAGCTCCGCGTCTGCGCCGCCCGCCCGGGCCGGCTGGGTCCCGGCCGGAGATGGAAGCCGGGGAGCCCCGGGAGCCGCGCGAGCCCGGGCTGGGGGCAGAGACCGCCGCGGCCACGGCCTCGCGCTGGGAGGAAGCCAACACTTTCTGCGGCAACCTCACGCCCAAGAAGACACCCAAATCGGTAAACACGGGGCGCGGGTGTTCGGGGAGGGGAGGGGGAGGGTCCCGGGGAGGGGTCGAAGGCCGCCTGGAGAGGGACCCGTGGCGCCGCTCCGGAGGGAACACCGCCCCTTAGCACCGGAGTGCGCCCGGCAGCTGGCGCGGGCTCGGGGTTATTTTGGGAGCTCTGCTCCGTGCTTTTTCCCGGGCTCGGGTTCCCCGCCAGGATCCCCCTCCCCCATGCTGCCGCTAGGGCCCAGCTCCGGGCCCCGAGGCCAGCCCCTCCCGGTGCGGCTGCCTGGGGCGCACGGGCAGCACTGGCGGCCAAGCCGGTCAGTGAAGCCCGCAGAAGCGACCCGGACCCCAGAAACCAGACTCTGGAAACCCGGCTCCTCCTTGCTGTGCGCTCCGGTTTCTGCCATCCGGGTACTGGGCTTCGTACTCGAGCCTATGCATTTGGGGTCTGGCTCAGGGCCATGCGCCCTGGACTGGGGCGCTGTGTTCCCCGCGCCCTGAGGGTGCGCTCAGGGCTCTGCGCCCCTGGTCCTGGGCTTCCGACGCTGGACTCTGCACCTCAGCTCCCTGCGCAGTGGGCGTTCGCAGCCCTGCTACCTCCATGGTGGGCTCAGCCCTACAGGACGCACGGAGAGGAGAGAGGTGCTCTTCCAATCCCACAAGTTCTTGATGCCCTGGTTGCCCCTGGGCCTTGCTGATTCCCGCTTATCAGACATCAGTGCTTGCGGAGGGGACTGAGAACAGAGGCTGGCTCAGAGCATCCTCCAAAAAAGAGCTCCAGCCTGACCTTAGTGTGTCCTGCTACTGCCTTCCAAAGACCCTACCCCAGGAGGCCCACCTGTCAACAGTCATTTCCTGCAGCAACAGGGGCACTGAGGTGAGTTAGGCTGACCCTGCCTCAGGCTCACACTGCCCTGAGGGGGAGCCCCTGCAGGTGGTGAGTGCTCAGGTGAAAGGCCCTACCAGTGCAGGGGGTGCAGAGAGGAGTGGCTGCCCGCTGAAGGAGGCTCTGTAGAGGTGGCCTTTGCGCTCATCTTAAAGTGGTTTTGCCATGCAGAGAGAGAAACAGGATGGGCAGAAGGCATGCAGATGGCCACTGAGGGGGAGAAGGCAGGATCTTTGGGAGAAGAGTTGGAGGAATGCCAGAGGCCCATGGAGGGCCTTGAGTACCATGTTAAGGAGCCGGGACCTTATTCGGTGGAGTTAGGGGTTTTATTTATTAATTAATATAATTTAAGTTGATTTCAGAGAGGAAGGGAGAGGGAGCAATATATCAAAACATCAATGATGAGAAAGAATCATTGATCGGCTGCCTCCTGCACGCCCCACACTGGCCATCGAGTCTGTAACCAGGCATATGCCCTGACCAGGAACTGAACCATGACCTCCTGGTTCATAGGTTGACTCTCAACCACTGAGCCATGCCAGCTGGGTGAGGTTAGGGCTTTTAAAACTAGGTTCCATGGAGCCCCGTGAATCCAATTAATTTTTTTCTTCTTCAAAGTATGTTTTAAACCGTTAAAAATGTATAATAAAATTCAACTCACTTAAATGTGCTATGTGGATGTTTTTGTGCACCTTGGAGACTACCAACATATTAATTTATGCTGCGGATTGATTTTTTTTAAGCAAACCACAGAATAAAGTTTTTCCTGTGATCTGTTTAATAGAAGAGTATCTTGAGATTGCTGACAATTATTGCTGAGTCTCTTGAGGCTTGTAGTTTAAAACAAAACAAGGCATTTGCAACCACTTATTGGTGTGAATCAGGGCTTTCTCAATACTGCAAAACCAGCCAACGCAGAAACAAATTGACTAGATGATGAAGCTTAAGTCTGCACTGGCATCCTAACTTCCAGTTTCGAATGTGCCATCACCCAAACAACTGTGTTGTCATTGGTTGACATTATAATAAATACTTTATGCACATGTAATGTATTTGAATTTGTACAATAAATGTATACCAATACGATGTAATATCTGGTTTACATATTGGGGTTTCTCCCAAGAGTTCATTTGAATAAAAGATCAACCTACTTTTTCAAAAACCATGAAAACCAGTTCTAGCCGGTTTGACTGAGTGGACAGAGTGCCGGCCTGCAGACTGAAGGGTCCCAGGTTCGATTTTGGTCAAGGGCACATGCCCTGGTTGCGGGTTCGATCCCCAGTAGAGGGCGTGCAGAAAGCAGCCAATCAGTGATTCTCTCATCATTGATGTTTCTCTCTCTCTCCCTCTCTCCCTTTCCCTTCCTCTCTGAAATCAATAAAAATATATTTTAAGCCGAAACCGGTTTGGCTCAGTGGATGGAGCGTCGGCCTGCGGACTGAGGGGTCCCAGGTTCGATTCCGGTCAAGGGCTTGTACCTGGGTTGCGGGCACATCCCCAGTAGGAGATGTGCAGGAGGCGGCTGATCGATGTTTCTCTCCCATCGATGTTTCTAACTCTCTATCTCTCTCCCTTCCTCTCTGTGAAAAATCAATAAAATATATTTTAAAAAAATATATATATATATTTTTTTTTTTTAAAAAAAAACCACAAAAATGCATGAAACTATTATGGAATTATGCCTGATTTTTCAGCAAGGGATTAATTTGTTTCCATTTTCATTTTAGAAAGATCACCCTGGGCAGTTGTGAATAGATTGAAGGGGGTGCATCTGGCAGCAGGCATACCAGTAAGGAGGCTGGTTCCTGTCTGAGGAGCAAGCTGTCATGGTCTGGGGATGGAGAGAAAGGGATGGACGTTGGAAATTAGGGTGGTGAGTGGAGCTCACCAACTTATTTCCTCCCCAAGCTCCAAGGAACCAGGGAACTCAGGCCCAGCTGTCAGTCATGACCTCTCTGTCAGCCTCTGACCCTCACAAGGTGCTTGGTGGCTTCCTGGCCCCTACTCCTTCCTGCCATAGTCTCTACTCCCACAAGCTATATTGGGGGCTTTAGGCCTCATGCGCCCCATCAAGGCCTGTCCTGGGCTTATTCTCATTCCCAAGAGCCTGAGTGAAGTTTTTAAGCCCTGAGATCCCTAGGAGACCCTCACCTCATGGGTCAGAGGACTTCCTCATTGCAGACCTATCTGTCTCTCTCCTCCAGCAGCCCTGCTCCTTCTAAGTCCGTCTAGAAATAACAGCTTCTGGCCATGTTCCTATCTTGGTCCCAACAGGCAGAATTATATCAGCCAAAATGAGAGCTCCTCAGACAGGCTGAATGGCGTTGAGCTGCTCTCCATTATCCCCCCACCCCTCCTCCACCCCACCCCGAAGCCAGCAGGGGGACACCAGCCTGGCCCCAAGCCCTGGTGGAAGGCAGAGAGAGCTGGCAGGACCCTGGCTCCCTGGAGGCCAGTGCTCTCAGGCTGAGTTCTGGTCTAGGGTAAGGGTCTTTCTAACCCACCCAATCTGGAATCCGGACTTCTTTCTGACTTCTAGAGGGTCACCTGACAACACATGACAGGGTGGCCCCCCTCTGCAGCTAGGTCCAGGAGGGTCTCTAAGTGCTTGCTCCTCCCCAGCTCTGGCCAACTCCTTTCACCTGTTCCTTCAACTCCACCTGGAGCCCTCATCTCTGCCAGCTGGGATCCATATTTCCTGCAGCAGCTCCTGACCGCTTGGCCCTTAGGCTCCACGTGACTTGCACAGCGTCAGAGGAAGCTGAGTGGGGAGGCAGGGCCCTGCCCTTGGAACCTCCATTCTGAGAGCAAAGAGAGCCCTGTCCTTAGAATCCTCACTGGGAGAGCTCTGTGCCCCTCACCATTTCTTCCAAATCTGGAAAGGAAAGTGCTGTGTGGGGCGTGTCCCAGGGAAGTGGCTGAAGTAGCAGGGGTTGGGGTCTTCTGGGAGTTGAGGGGCATATGGGGGAGTGCTGCTGTGTGGACAGAGGCCAGAGACTTGGGGTCTTATCCCGGCTCTGCGTTGACTTGGCTGTGTGACCTAGAGTAAATTTCTGTCCCTCTCTGAGCCTCTTTCCCTATATATATATTTTTTTAAATATATTTTTATTGATTTCAGAGAGGAAGGGAGAGGGAGAGAGAGAGATAGAAACATCAATGATGAGAGAGAATCATTGATCGGCTGCCTCCTGCACACCCTCCGCTGGGGATCGAGCCCGCAACCTGGGCATGTGCCCTTGACCGAAATCGAACCCGGGACCCTTCAGTCCCCAGGCTGATGCTCTGTCCACTGAGCCAAGCCAGCTAGGGCTCTTAACCCATATTTAAAAGAAAAAAGTGGAGACTCCTAGAGTCAAGGCAGCTGGGATAGTTTTCTTGCAATTGCTCAAGATGGGATGGGATGGGGTCTGGGCAGGTCAGCCAGCGGGGACCCAGAACACGGCAGTCTGGCAGGGACTGTGGGACAGAAAGTGAAGAGTGAGACCTTGGCCGGCTGCCTGGGCTGGAGTGGCTGGCTTGGGAACCTGCCTGAAGGGGCTGGGAGGGCAGCTGATTCTCTGTCCTTGAAGGGATGATGGGCCCTGTCCCCGGGGCAGTAAGCCACCAGGCTCCCTGGGTTTATGAGAGTGGGTCTCCCAACTCCCTCAACCCACTCTTACCATCCCTGGCCGTCCCGCTATCACTTTTTTCCTCTAGGTCAATGGTCTGGAACCTTTCTTCTGCCAGAGGCCATTTGGATATTTATAACATCATTCAAGGGCCATACAAAATTACCAACTTAAAAATTAGCCTGCTAAATTTGATCAAACATTTCATTAACCCACCCCTAATGCCTTGGCAGGACCAGACCAAATGATTTTGCAGGCCGGACATCCCCCACTCCTGTTCTAGGTCTTTTAACTTTACCTTCTTTCCTTGAAGGCTCTCAGTTGCTAAGGGGGTTGGGAGGTACCCAAGGACACATAGATATTAGGTGTACCGGTTAATAATGCGGATTTTTTTCAATAGATGGAGGTACACATATGTTGATATATATGCGACTTGATATGTATGCTATTTTGTTGTATTGACAACAAGCTTCAAAACTTCATGTCAAATTTTCTGAAGGTGTTAACATCATA